ATTGCATGACTTAATGGCGTATAGTTTGGATTAGAAATTTTGAACGAGTGCGTGTAAATACAGTTGTATTTTTTAAATGTGTAGATAAAATCTGTCTTACCCCATGTTCTTCATGACATAGTAGGCTTAAAACAAAAAGATATCTATATATATAATTCTCTTCTTGAAAACACCAAGCTGTAAGCGCGCCTAGCAGCCCCCTCTCTTCATCTCTAAGTATATCCCTACCACCCCACCCCCACATGGTCTGGTGAGCTGTGGTTCACGCTAAATGTTTACAATCGTAGAGCCGGGTTTAGTGACGGCTATTAGGGGCAGATAATTTAGTTTGAAACGATTTTAAACTTAGGGGAGGTAACTAAAAGGAGGCTGCTTTCACGGGGGAAGGGGGTAGGGTTGGGGGAAAGGAGGGTGGGGGGTATTGTCCTTAACGACTTACTGATAGTGTTTTAAAGCAAATATTTCCAGTGGCAGCATTGGTACTGTCGAATTCACAAATTATGAATTACTGAAAAGTAGAAAATAAAACAACTAAATAGCGTCGTATGATACGCCGCGGGTCGGCTGGTGTAAAATATTTTAAATGTGAAGTAAAATTTGAAAAAAAAGTTGTCAGAAGTGGAATTTGAACCCACGCCCACATTCGTGGACCAGAACACTCGATCCAGCCAGCCGCGAGAAGGTTTTGAACCTTGAGTCTGGCGCCTTAGACCACTCGGCCATCCTGACTTGTCACGTTGTGACTTGATAATATTTATCAACGCTAAGAGATCGTCAATTATTGAGTTCACATTCCAGGGAGAGATGGGGATGGGGGAGGGGAAGGAAAAATGAGGTAAAGAGAATACAATAAGGAATGTTATCAAACTTGATATTAACAGTCACTTAACATTTTTAAAAATGTATAAATCGTAATAACATTCGATCGATCATTCTAATGTTAAATTGGGTCGGGATTGCTGAACAGTATATAAGCATTTTTTACTACATCAATTAATGGCGTGTAGTTTTGAGATAGAATTTTGAACCAGTTCGTGTACATTTATATTTTCTGTGTAGGTGGAATCTATCTTACGTAATGAGTCTATAAATTATGTGTAAATAATTTAAATGTGAAGTAAAAATTTTTAAAAATTATGTCAGAAGTGGGATTTGAACCCACGCCCACATTCGTGGACCAGAACACTCGACCTCACCAGCAGTGAGAAGGTTTTGAACCTTGAGTCTGGCGCCTTAGACCGCTCGGCCATCCTGGCTTGATATGATGCGCATTGTAACAGTAGACAAATTAGGTTGTTACATATATCGAATCAAGATTTAAAGGAAGAGTGTCTGACTCTTTGTGACGATTCGGGGAGGTGAGGGGGGGGGGGGGGAAGGATTGAGAGGCTGGGTAACTATTAGGAAAAAAACATGACGTCATAAAAGGCGCCCCTGAAGAAAATAAGCAAAATAAATATTTTTTTGCACCTGGTTGTTTAAATAAAACACAAAAGTGCCGTATTACATGCTGATGAGAATTGAAATGACATTTAAAGACATCTATTAATTAATACGGCTTTATTAACAGCAAAAAATAAGAAATGTGAAGATTTTGAAAGTCAAGGCACATTTTTTTGCCCATTAATGCAATTCTCAAGTCGCCAGAACCTCCCTTGTCCAAATATAAAGGACACGTGGGGTTCTGGCTTAATTAAAAGGAATTGCAATGATAAGATAATGAACTAGGTATGTAGAATGTATTGAAACAGACTACTAATGAAAATGTAATGAAAACGTAATGAAAAATGTAATAAAATAACTGAAAATGTAATGAACATGTAATGAACATGTAATGGACATGTAATGAACATGTAATGAACATGTAATGAACATGTAATGACATGATGAAAATGTAATGAGCATGTAATGAAAACGTAATGAAAACATGATTACAAAAATATTGCACCCCCATTTCCTCACACAGGCACCTGAGTGTCCCATGTGTTCTGGTCTACGGTCTTCTGCGGACATGTGAGGACGATGTCGTTGTCTTAGAGCAATGTGGTTGTCGGGTCAATCACGTGTGGAGCCTTGTCTTGATACAGGTGAGTTAATCTGATACAGGTGAGATAATCTGATCAGGTGAGTTAATCTGTTCAGGTAAGTTAATCTGACCAGGTGAGTTAATCTGATCAGGTGAGTTAATCTGATACAGGTGAGATAATCTGACCAGGTGAGTTGATCTGTTCAGGTAAGTTTATCTGACCAGGTGAGTTAATCTGTTCAGGTAAGTTAATCTGACCAGGTGAGTTAATCTGATCAGGTGAGTTAATCTGATACAGGTGAGATAATCTGATCAGGTGAGTTAATCTGTTCAGGTAAGTTAATCTGACCAGGTGAGTTAATCTGATCAGGTGAGTTAATCTGATACAGGTGAGATAATCTGACCAGGTGAGTTGATCTGACCAGGTGAGTTAATCTGACCAGGTGAGTTAATCTGATCAGGTGAGTTAATCTGAACAGGTGAGTTAATCTGACCAGGTGAGTTAATCTGACCACGTGAGTTGAACTGACAAGGAGAGTTAAGTTGACCAGATATTTCTATAAGCCAGGCGAAAATCCAACCCAAACAATGCTTGGCTTATATCTCAAATACCAGTCCTATTCGTTTTGAACAAACATCCACATATTCACATTGAACATATAAACATATGCTAGGTGGGTTTCTTTAACATTTTCTTCGCTTTACAATTAAAAATATGTTTGTTACTAATTCTAATAATTCGGCCTGTTTACGACAGTGCGTTTCTTGCGATGTAGACGTGATTCTACGGATGAATTCACTCATAATTTTCCTTTTTCGTTCCTTACGGACCATAGGGCCTCCATCAAATCTTTCCACTCCCCAAGGTCTCCTGCCACTCTTTTTAGCTTTTCGCAAATCCTACCTCTTCTTCCAGCACGTTACGTCGCCATGTCTTCCTGGGTCGACCCCTACGTCGCCATGTCTTCCTGGGTCGACCCCTACGTTGCCATGTCTTCCTGGGTCGACCCCTACGTCGCCATGTCTTCCTGGGTCGACCCGTACGTCGCCATGTCTTCCTGGGTCGACCCGTACGTCGCCATGTCTTCCTGGGTCGACCCCTACGTCGCCATGTTTTCATGGGTCGACCCCTACGTCGCCATGTCTTCCTGGGTCGACCCCTACGTCGCCATGTTTTCATGGGTCGACCCCTACGTCGCCATGTCTTCCTGGGTCGACCCCTACGTCGCCATGTCTTCCTGGGTCGACCTCTACGTCGCCATGTCTTCCTGGGTCGACCCCTACGTCGCCATGTCTTCCTGGGTCGACCTCTACGTCGCCATGTCTTCCTGGGTCGACCCCTACGTCGCCATGTCTTCCTGGGTCGACTCCTGGTTCGCTTGCCCCGGGGATTCCTCCATGCCAGGACTTGTCGGGCTCTATCGCCAGCGTCCTTCCCAAAATTGTGCCAAATCCATCGCTATTTCCATGATAAACCTAATGACGAGCAAACTCTGTGTACGGTTGACTTAGTTTGTCCATCATTAAATATTTGTTCATCATAACATGTTTACATTTTACGTTTTTCACCATTAATGTTTTTTCATCATTACATTTTTTTCACTATTATATGATGTTTGTTCACTGTTACATAATGTTTCATCATCATCTTTTTCCGTTCGTTCCGAAAACATTCGGATCAAATGAAATCAACCTGTTTCAATGAGCTCGAACTACAGGGGAACAATGTGGTCAGCATTATGCCAGCCGCCTTAGTTTTCCCGACATCCATTAGAGCGAGATAGACTCTATAACGTCTTATAGATTAGAGTCAGGGCTCTGAACTCGAGAGATCCCGGGATCCGAACTTTTAGGTTAGCAGTCGTAAACCATAACATCCGACCACACCATCCCTACATAATGTTTGGTCATCATTCAATGTTTTTCATCATTCCATAATGTTTGTCCATCATTACATAATGTTTGCCCGCCATTACATAATGTTAACTCGCCATTACATAATATGATCTCACCATTACATAGTGTTTGGTCACCATTACATAATGTTTACTCACCATTACATAATGTGATATCACCATTACATAATGTTTGCTCACCATTACATAATGTTTGCTCATTATTACATAATGTGATCTCACCATTACATAATGTTTGGTCACTATTACATAATGTTTGGTCATCATTACATAATGTTATCTCACCATTACATGTTTGCTCACCATTACATTATGTGATCTCACCATTACATAATACAATCTCACCATTACCTAACCAGGATGAATGGAGGTTCGTTGACTGTGCGTGCGGGGGTGGATACTTCAATGAAGACTCGCCCACGGAAACTTCACACGAATACTTCTTTTTGACCGACCCGGAAAACTTCATTATGACTCACTTCCCAGTGCGCATGCGCAATAAAGAAATAGCGGAGATAGAGGAGACAGAAATAACAGTCTGTGAATCGTCAAGTAATGAGGTATGTTGACAAAACAGGCTGTCACTATGTTAACAAATACTGTTGGAGATTTGAAGTGCATTGACAAGACCAGGCATCTCTTCGTGATGCCCCCCCCCCCCCCCCGCCCAGATAAAAATGTGTGAAAGAAACACTACACTACGAACTAACCGGCATGCTCTTATTCTTAAGACCAATCACAGAATGTAAAAAAATCCAGAAACTACAGAGATTTAGAGATTTGCGGGGTGTGTTGTGAGTAGGGATGGGGGGGGGGGGGGAATTGTATTTGAATTTTTTTTATTTTAGTGTTGTTGTTTTATTTTTATTTTTAATAATCAGGTAAAAAGTGCTCTGCAAATGTTAGAGGTGCCATTAGGATTCGACATGTTCTGTAGACACAGCGTGTTGTCGCCCCTGGCAGTGGAATGTGCTCTAGAACGCAAGTCGCATTTATTCGCTAACGTTTCGCTCATAAAATGCGAAACATTTCTTTTCAAGTCAAAACACTTAGACAACATGGCCGCCATACTCAGAGGGCGAAATTCTAATGACGTGTACAAGCATAGCGTTTTATGCACTCGGGGTAGCGATGGCGGATTTCAGATCATAGTCAAACCAAAAGAAAAAGGCGAATACAAACTTAGTGTTTTTGGTCGGAAAATAAACTCGGGAGATGCATCGTTCTATCTGTTGGTGAACTACTTTCTTTCGGCGGATGAAGTGGAAGAGAATTTTAACCCTTTCCCGGAACATTTTGGAGTTTGGGGAGCCAATTCTATGGCGGGGCACTGTGGCTTCACCCCTGCGATAGAAAAATTTGACGTGCTTGCCTGTCGCAGTGGGGAAATTTACATGAAGCTGCCTGTTTCGCGACTCGTTCAAACGAAATCTGTAGTGAGGCCAGCTCAAAACGAGGCAGGTGGTGATTTGTATCAAAGCGAGGCCGTCTGTAACCAATCAACGTTGAATCAGTACTCACGTGGTGTGGTTCATGTCAGAACGAGGCTTCCAAAAATAGGTTTCTATTCTTTGTGTCTGTTTGCCCAGTACCATGATCCTGTGGACAACAGCACGGGTTACGTCAATGTCGCGAATTTCTTCATCAACTGCCAAAACTCGTCTCTTACACCATCCCCCTACCCCAGGACTTTTCCAATGACGCAATGTTTCGAGTGTCTTCTGCTAGAGCCTTTAGTGGGGGAACTACTGGTCAACGAACAAGTCCGATTTGTGCTCAAATCTCCGCTTTTAACGAAAGCTACGATAGGAAGGGAGGTTATGCTGAAAGGTCAAGGTGACCCAGACGATGACGTGTGGTGGCTCGTCTATACACCGAAATGTTCCGGAAAACAAATTTTTGTCTACGGTAGTGTCGAGGAGGACCAAAGCTCGCTAACGGCGATCTATATGTTCTCTGTCGTAGGCGGGGAAGATGACGTTGTCACAGTTAGTACACATATGTGATGATGTGTGAATGACATAGCGAGATGACGTACACACCATGGGGCAACACATATGTGGTGTCTTACATCAGTGGCGTCACTAGGTCGGGTGTCTCCCAGTGCGGTAACTGAGGGTGGAACCCCACCCTTCTCCAACAATTTAGCAATTTCGGTTTGGTTTCACCCCTCTCCCCCTCCTATTATGTTATTTCAACCGGATAAAACATTATTTTAACAGTAACACCTTTCGTCATGGCGTCACCCCCTTAATGGTGTCACACGGTGCGGACCGCACACCCCTCCCCCCACCCCGCCTTGTGATGCCCCTGTCGTACATTGATTAATTGATGGTTTGATTATGGTAACATACATCATAACACTCAATGCACATGTGATGACGTATTACACATCGTTTCACCTCCACAATTTGTCATCTTATCCATTACAAACTCAATAACCGCCACAGATAAAACCCGTTTTGATTACATTTTTATATTACATTATTTGTTATTCTTGGCGTTAAGGTAATTTTATTTTCAGCAAACTTTTGAGAATCGTTGGGAAAACAAAACTTTTAAATGCATCAACTGATCAACTTTGTGTTAATTTTTTAAGTTATCTCCCTTGCTTTACAATTTAAGAATGGTTGTTACACACAGTGATATGAGTTGAGTGAGGTAGGATTTACATGGCACGTATACAAATCAAATAATAAAGTTCGTTAGGCCACAAAAAAAGGTTTGAAACCGCATTTCAGCTCACAGATGACGAAAACAAATATCACGGAACAATAAAGAGTTAAAATAATTTGAAATTGTATTCTTGTTTTTTTTTTATATTGTTCACTTTTCTGTTAATGGTGGATTCACTTTTGTTTTATTATTAACTGTGAAATTTTTTTTTGTATGTTTCAAACGGTTAATTGTATGTTTTATTATTGTTATTTTTTTTCGTTTATGTGTTTGTTTGAGATCAGCTAATTGTATGTGCATGAGTGCATGTGTTTTTGTTAATTTTCTTTGCACTAGCTTAATAAGGTAGAGATTCCCCTTTAGACCAAGCGATCCGTTGGGCAGATGAACTAGAGTTCTTATGTTTCTTGACCTCGGCAAGTGAATGGATGGGTCAAAGCTTGCTGAACTTAGGGACGTTCTACTGACTTGATGAACCCGGATTCGACCTTTAGACTTTCGGTTTAGCAGATAGCGCTATAACGCTAGGCCACTATGTCCTATGTTTGCAATAGAGTACTAGTTTATATATCAAACTTAATGATGCAAAAACGCTCTTCAGAGAGGGATTTGAACCATCGCCCACATTCGTGGACCAGAAAGCTCTATCCCGCTGGGTCGCAAGAGTGAATTGACACCTAAAGTCCATCCTGGCATAGCGACATTTGTGCTTCATAAATATTTCTAATATTTTGAAATTACAAACTTAGCATTTTCATTTAAATCAATCGATATTCGCCCAGTGAAGTGCTCGTCTAAGCCCCCCCCCCCCACCCAAACTTTCGATTAACATATTATAAACCCTCCCCCCTCTCCCCATAAAATATCGCCAGAATTTACCCATTTGCGGTTTTTATTAAAACACTAGCGTACTCGTCCCCGTGCGTTGCCGCGGGAATAGAAGAAAGTATGTAGAAATATATAAGAATGGTTTCATCAATGCGTTACCAATCATAAGTACTTAAATGCGTGACTTTGTTTTCTAAAACCGAGTTATTTAAATGTAAACAATGCCTGGGCTTGGATCATATTTATCGGGGCATGCTTTCCTACACTACCGCCCAAAAAAGCCCGGGGCGCCAAATCGCACACTGCCGTGGCGCCGGCGGACGCGCCTGATCATGCTTAGTCTTTTTCTTCTTCTTCGTTCTTAATTTTAAGTGATGAAAGGGACCGAGAATTATTTACCAGAGGGTTTGAACTCGAGACTTTTTCGAATTTAGCAACCATGAGCTTTTTTGCCGACTCGACCACGCCTCCAACACAATTAAGCGTTACGTGTCAACTGGTTATGCGTCATTGAGACCATTGACTCCGATTTCAGCCTGCTTTTCTTTTTGGATTTGCTTCCATAGCCTTTGTCCAACCAAGAACAAACTACAAGGCAGCAGTTGTTTGATTTTGGAGTTGTCTCTCCTAGAAGAGTGGCTGTCCCCAGCTAACGAGCCTCATCTGCCCGAGGGTTCGAACTCAAGACTTTTCGGTTTAGCAACTATGAGCTTTACAGACTCGACCACGACGACCCCTATCATTCTTAGTGAACGACTCTAAAACCAAAACTTATGCATAGTCTTTCGCAATGTTTAAAACGAACGTAGGCGCCATAGCGCTCACGGGATATCACGGGGCGCCAAATTGCACCCTGTCTGTGCGCCGGTAAACGCGCCTGATTCAATTTAGTCAATGACTATAACGCCGCATCTTATCCATGGTCTATCTCACTGTTTAAAACAAACGTAAGCGCCATAACGGGAAAGACCAGGGCGCCAAATCGCATCATGCCGAGGTCAGCCCGTGCAAAATTAACTCTTCCCCCCCCCCCCCCAATCACAAGATAACCTTCTCGGGAGTATTCTCATCAACTCCCCAAAGTTTTATGGCACGCGGTGTTGAACCGCATCAGACTTTAATTATTTTAATAGACCGTTTATAAAGAAAAATCGCACCCTCCCGTGGCGCCGCCCTTGTGAAATTAAAAAAAAAGATTTTTTGCAGAACCCTTCCCTGGAGTGTTCTCATCAACTTCCCAAAGTTTGATGGCGATCGGATGAACGGTGTAAAACCGCAATCGACTTTTATTTTTTTATAAACCGTATATAGAGAAAAAAACAAATCGCGCCCTGCCGGGGCGCCACCCCTGCGAATTTGAATTTTTTCTTTCGCAAAAACCTCCCCAGGAATATTCTCAACAAATTCCCAAAGTTTCACAGCGACCGGATGAAAGGCGTAGTCATGCATAAAATACTGACACACAGACAGACACACACTTCATGAACTCTCGTCACAGATCAGCACATAGGTTTGACTTTCCCTCTCCCCTAGGTCATTTATCGACAACTTCTAAAAGCCATCCAACAGCTAATATTTTTCTAATAACAAAGATTTGTGTGTGTGTGTGTGGCCATCTCAATTCAAGCCCTTATTGTCAGAAATATTGTAGAAATGGCACTCGTTGGTTTTTAGTTGTTTAATAAAGATAGAGAATACACAGCGGACGTTTAACATACTATTTAGTTGCTTCAATAATTTCAGAATAATGCTTCTTGAAAAATTTTTTTTTTAAAACAAGTATTAGCAAAAATATTGTCAGAAGTGGGATTTGAACCCACGCCCACATTCGTGGACCAGAACGCTCTGCCCCGCGACAACGCAGGAAGGTTAATCCTTGAGTCTGGCGCCTTAGACCACTCGGCCATCCTGACTTGAACACATTTGGATTTCTAACGATCATATACCTAAAGAAATTGTATCTTAACGACTTTCAAATATACATATTTAAAGTTTATGCCTAAATCAGTTATTTTTATTATTCGAGTATTCCCTAATTGTAAAAGCAACCCAACGGCAATGCGTTTTGCTATGGATAATGCTGCTTGGCTAAAAAGTCATGTAATCTTTTATCTGTCTAGAAGGGCATACATAAAAATTATTATTTTAAAGGCCCTTATTTAAATGTTGGGCCTTGGTACTAGATCTAGTACTGCTAAGCTAGTAGTAGTGGACCTAATATGTTGTAATTAAAATAGTAATATTCTAAATAGGAGATGTATCAAAGGTCAAAAAAGGCCTAATCAAAATAAATAACTAAATACTAAATAAATAGGCCTACATAAAAACATCTTTGTCATGTGCCTACAACAATATTACAATTTAAATATGTAAGCAAACAACAGAAATATTCGAAACAGGGTCAAATCCTTACTAAATCTACTAGATCTAGATTCTAAAACAAGATTTAGAATCTAGATCTAGATTAGAACTGTTTATCTGGCATCTGCCTAATGTTATTGTACGGTTACTTTGTTCTAGAAATCTAGATCGAGATTCTATGCTTTTCGACATTTAGCGAAACCAAATGTTTTTCTACCATGCTTAATAAAATTTTAAGGTAAACAAAGATACTTGATCAAAATTTTTTTCAAGGTGATGCAAAGCACTAGTCTATATTTACAGATCAAGATTAGTAGATTAGTTAAATAAAGAATTAATTTCTTAGTTATTTAGTTAGACTAACATGATTACAACTGTTACATTAACATTTTAATTGATTTTAAGTGTAGGGCCTAAGTCATTTGACATTTGATTTTAAGCGTTCGTTGTCGACTAATTGTCAACATCACAACAATTCTGTCAATTCACATGTCACATATTGTTACATTTCTACATATTGAATGATATTGGCAAGTTTAAGTAGGCCTACTTAGTAGTCTATTATAATTAATATAATTATTTTAAGCTTTGGCTTTGCAGAAGCCAAGTGTGTCTTACACGATAGACAGTGACTCTGCTGTCTAGTCTACTCTAACTAATCTAATAAAATCTAATTCATAGTTGAATAAGTAGATTGTCAATTGTAAGATAGGATACTTGGCGAATTTCAATCTTATTTTAATATTTATTCCAAAACCTAGATTAATTAATCTAGGTGTAAAATCAGACACCAATCCAACATTTGTTACCTAGGCCTATACCCCTCCTATGGTATAGATTATAGTATTATAGATAGTAGGCCTAACAAGTTACTTGTCATACTTGACTTAATATTATATTAATAAGAGTACTCAAGACTGAAACTATAAATTTATCAAGACCAGAGCCAGATAGACTCGATAGTAAAAAAAAAAAACAACCTGTAAAAACTTAACATAGCTAAAGCGCCCTAAGGCTAAGTACTAGAAAATAAGTAGTAAATAGGCCTAGGGGTCATTCATTTATAACGTCCACACAGGGGGGTGGGGTCTGTAAAGAATCGATTATTGTGGGGAGGGGGGGGGGGTTGATAAACAATTTCTTTTTGCATTATTTTACATTTGAAATCAAAGTTATGTTTTTGGGCTGTCATTGTAATGACTGCCTTATAAATATTGTTGTTATATTTAAGACCTTTATGTAATTACTATTTAAAAGGTTACCCCAGAGAATAGATATGTGTGTGCTTTTACTACATGTTTTGTTTATTTATGATTTACAAAAAAAATAAGATCTTTGTTTTTATTTTTTAATTGAAGTAATCTCCCCTTATTGTGAGATTGTGAGGATGGCAAAGAAAAGAAACACTGTTAACAAGTCAGATGGAGGGTCACAGAATGAGAAGACTACACTACAAACACATTCAGGCGAGGCCAGTATGGAGGAGTCTGATACAGATACCGATGTAAAAAAGCCAAACTTGAATAAAAAACCCACATTAATAGATAGCTCAGATGAAGAGGATACTTCAGGATCAGATGAATCTAGTGCCAGTGATGATGAAGATAGTTCTGACACAAATGAAAATATTCCAGACAAACAACTTAAGCATAAAAACTTCAGGTTGTCTTGTTTACATGACTGGGATGAAGAAAAATTAACATCCTGTGTCAAAAAGTTTTTTGAAGAAACAATTGCTAAAAATCAGCAATCAGGGTCAGCTCTGAAAATAGGAGGTTACTCAGAGGATTACACGCCTTGGTGGGAGGAGTTTTCTAAACCTAAACAGATTGGAATCATGCATGCTGCAAAAAAAATTCACCAAGTTCAAGGTTTGTAACATAGTTTTTAAACTACTTGTTCCCTTGTTGCAACATGTTTAATTTTATATAATTTATTTTTAGGTGTCGTTTTGTATTTTCAGACAATACTTTCTCATGTTGTTGTTTTAAATTTCTTTAATACATAACCTGAAGATAGGATTTATTATGTTGTAATTATTTAGATTTCATTGTTTGATTCTGACAGATGATGACACATTTGATAACTGGTTTGACAAGACTCCAAAAGAAGGAACCAACTGGTTATGTGGTCCAAGGTAAACCATAATTTACTCTAGTGATGTAGGATATATCAAAATAGCAACTCATAAAAATACAGTGAAATGATAGATAAAAACAATCACCTATGGTATAACTGTTTGAATTGTTTCCACAGCTCTGCACCCAAATTACAATCAGAGAAAAAGTCGGCTGTAGAGGATATTGTAAGTAACTTCGTCATATATTATTTACACTTTTTCATCTATACACAGCTGTAGAAAAGTTTATAATTAAACAACTAGGCCCACCTAGATCAATCACAAGTGTTTTTTTTTTAAATGATCTTTTTTTATCTAGATTTAAAAAAAATAGTTATTCAAGAAATAAGGGAATTTTAAACATGTGTGATCACCCTCTCACATTTTCTGGTGAGCAGGAGAAAAATCCTGACATGGTCTAGGGGTCACTGTGAGTTCACATTGGTTTAGATACTGGTAATGTAGTCTTATACCATATGTCATAGTTACACAGTATCCAATTATAATGGAAAATCTATGGTCTTATTAGTGAAAAAAGTTTTTTTAAAGTTGGCAGCCCTGTATATATACTCAAAACAAAATAGAATAAAACCTATTAATTTAAATACATTGTTCATTTAAACTATTTTTTGACATAACTTTTTCATTTACTTTAGCTGTAAAGATATTAACACCATTTTAAATTAAAACTTACATGGCTTTCTTAGAATTTATGACCAAGGTGTTTCTGCAAGGGGAGGGATGGTTAACGAGACATTGTAATGTTGTAATATTGGAATGTAATTTAAATGATACCAATGCAAGTTTATTCAATAATCATATTAGCAATGTAAAACAGATGTTAGTAAACTAAATCACTAAGTAGATTATTACATTCTCCTGTCATATTTTGTGGAAAGTGTGTTGTGCATTCACTGAGGCTTTCATTAAATTTACCAATTTTGTTTTCAGGAAGTGCCCTCTATTTATGATGTCAGACCTCCAGCTAAAGGACGCAGAGCACTCAAGAAGGAAAGAAGAGTAGGTATCAGTTAGTTGAAAATGGACTTTTTTACAGCCCATTATATTCTCCTGTTCAAGCTTGATGAATTTTTTAATCTATTCTTTCAGTTATAATATGTTGACATATAAAAAGCTATTTGTTCCCTGATGCAAGATTTGATTTTGTTTGATTAGGCTGAGAGAGAGAAAACACTTGGTGACAAATGGTTTGGAATGAAGGCGCCAGACATTGATGATAAGCTCAAGAATGACATGGAACTTATAAGAATGAGAGGGGCGCTGGACCCCAAAAAGTTTTACAAACATCAAGACAGGAAGGCATTGCCAAAATATTTCCAGGTAAATCTTCATCATATAAATATATACATTGCATATATATTGTTATGCTACTATGCATTTTATAAAAAGAGAAATTCTTTTCCAGGCAAAATGTGATAAGTTGATTTTGGAGATGGATTTAATCAAGATGTATAAAAAAAAATGAAAAAATACAAAACAAATACTTAAATATTTCTTAATTGCAAAATATCTAAAAATAAAATTTAAAAATTCTAGAGGGAATAAGCTTGTTCTACACCTTGCTGGTTTCCTACATGGCTTTTTATAGAATGTTTAGGCAAATTAGACACTTTTCTTTTCTAATCACTTTTTTAATAATATAAGGCAAATATAAAATTCTATTAGCATGTTATGTTGATACAAATAGTTATCCATTTTCACTAAATAACATTCTCAATCTTATCAGTTATCAAAATACCAGAATTCATAACAACATTTTATCATATTATCATTGTGTTATCACTATTAGCATTTACTGTTATATTATAAGCATTCCATCATCCTTTTTCAGTTTGATCGTATGAAAATTATTTTTTTCACTGATTGATGGTAACAAAGTTGTTTTTGTAGTGTTTAATCATACCACAATATTTTTTCCAGATGGGCACGGTGGTGGATGAAGGCACTGATTTCTACAGCAGTCGTCTCACCAAGAAGCAAAGAAAACAAACTTTGGTGGAGGAGCTTATGGCAGATGCTAATATACGACAGTATGTTGGATTTTTTCAACTTACTTTAATTCAAACCACGTTTATAAAATTTTAAGAAACGTTTTAAAATTATGTATATTATTTTTATTAATTCTCTATAAAATCTTTCTCAATTGTAATTTTGTAACTTTTTTAGATATTGGTACTTAAATTGAAACTTTTTGTAGATAGTACTACCGAAATCATGACTCTTATCACAAATTGACACTACCAGTGATACTAGCATTACTCTGCTGGTGGTTCACAAATTGATTTATATATGTTTGTCAGTACTAAAAATAACTAGTTTTAGGTTGTTTCAAGGTTCAGTTTAAAATCTTGCTCCTTAGTGTTTGTTTCTAGTTAAAGTTATCAAAATACTAGTTAGAATGATCAAATTTCTAGTTAAAGTATCACATTATATAGTTTAAGTGATCATATTTCTTGCTATAGTGATAAAAATTTCTAGTGATGAAATTTCTAGAAGTAAAGTGATGAAATTTCTAGAGTTAAATTGATCAAGTTTTTATAGTTAAAGTGAACAAATTTCTAGTTAAAGTGATCACATTTTTAGCTAAAGTGATGAAACTTGAATCACATTTTCTTTTCTTCTCAGATACAACAAGAGGAAATACTCTGAGCTGCAACAGAAAATGAGAGTAAAGAAGTCCAAACTGAAACAGAAGTCTTAGTGTTGTCAACATCCTTATATTCTTTGTTGTATCAGTTAATTAAAATTATGGTGATATAACTAAACCAGCTTTGTCCTTATTTTTATAAATGTAGTTTTACTTCCTTTTAAATACTTCAACCTTTTATTGTGATATGTTATATTTGTTGGATATTTTTGTTATTAAATGTAAATGTCCTGATAAAAGGAAGTAAATTGTATTAGGAGGGGTAGGATTGATGAGGAATTGACATGTATCGAATTTTTCTCTGGATGAGGAATATTGAAGGGATTGTAACCACGTTTGATTAACCATAAAGAGTTGTCTCCCTTTAATACTAGGTTGTTTCCCATATGAAGCAAAACTGAACAGTTGCCTACAATATTTATTACGATTGACAGTGTCAATGTTTGTATTGGAGATTGCTGTTTTCTAGTTAATGAACAAATGGTCTAAAAAGGTTCAGTTCTAAGAAAAACTTTTTGTTTCTCCCAATGCTAAAGTTGGGTTCAAGAATTGAAACCTTCTAAAGTACAGTGTACTAGTAGTAATGTATTTAAAATACCATAAGTAATCTACTACTTGCCAGCAGTTAACCACTCTATGAAGTACTGGTACTCAAGAAATTTAAAATGATGATTTATTGATTTTTGTGTAACAAAAATATTTGACTGTAAAGGGATGAGTGTACATCAATAAACATTCTGAACATTTTATTAGCGACATTTGCTGTGATATAAACATAAAGAAATATTTTAATGGAATAATCATTTTGGGAACAAGTGGCCTGTGTTTTGGTCAAACAAATGCCATTTATATGTTGTTTTTTTTCACTGGATCTATTACTTCCACACATCAAATAAAAGGCGAAAATGTATTGGTTTATGTACCTCATAATGAGTGTGTTGAAAAATAATCCTTGGACCTGCCATAGGAATAATAAAAGAATTGTATCAGCATTTAACCCTGTTTCACATGTGGAGTTGGTCTGGGGTACTCATTGACATGACACCGGAAGACACGGTGCGCATTTGGTTAGGTCTGTCTCGACACTTGCACAATCGTGTGCAGTATTCTTTCAGCACGTCGTAAAAGTCCCGGTTCTGGCTGGCGTAGACAAAAAAGTTTGAGCAGAAGTGAACGCACGTGATTGTGTTGAGAGCTTGAGCTACTTCTGCCTTGAGCTCAGATGGGCTGGTCAGTGTTTGAAACGCCTGAAAGTAGGTCCAGGGACTGACCGTGCAGAAGTAGGTCGTGAAGACGATCAGAGACATCTTCAGGGCTTTCCAGTTCCGGCATAAAATATAATGCGTCTCTTCACAGGAAGTCCTGGTCTTGTAGTCCGGCCCAACGACCAGTCTGAGGATGGCTCTTTGTTGACGGTAAGAGATGACGATGATGTGGACGTAGGCGGAGAAGATGACGAAACTGACCACGGTGTGGGCAACCGGAAATACGTACTTGATGTTGGCGGAGAATAATCCTCTACTTATCGCGATGTAGCTGCCTGCGAAAGAAGCAACCGAAAAACCCAGCAACCCTAAAACTGTTACTTTAACATTCCAGCTTCTCTTGTAGACCAGCGGATGAGCTATGAATATCCATCTCTCCAGCGTGATTAGAATCAAACAGCCGTAGCTGTAAATAGTCGCGAACCACCAGAGAAACTGTAGAGCAGACGAGCCAGCGTATCCCAGGTCGCTCCAGTCGTTGGTGACGCAGCCGTAGATTCTGATCCCGTTGAAGATGAGGCCGAAGATTCCTTGGAACACGTCGCACACGGCTAGGGAGGCGAAGAAAACGTTGGAGAGGATCCTCAGCTTGGAGTTGCAGCTGATGACAGCGAGGGTGGTGATGTTGGTCAGTACCGTGACGACACTGAGCACGATCTCAACGTGGTAGTACACAAGAAAGCGAGCCTCGATCTGAGTGTAAATAAACAAAGAGGAGATGATTTGGGTCAGGTTACCGGTGACGTTGTTCAGTGGCGCCATAGTTCATTCATACTTGTGAAAAAGTTTTGAGCTGTTGATCTGGTAATCCATTTTTCTAGAACAAAAACAGCACAGACCACAGAAAGTCCTTTCAGGTAAGATTTAGCTTCACATTTTTAAGTAAACAAATTATTTTTTCTATTGTGTAATACAGGGGGCTCTATGCTTAGAGAACATGTCAACATAATGATGGATCAGAAAGCTAATCATTGCTTTGTCATCTTGTGCTACTTTATTCCATGAACTGGTGTGATTATTCCGCCAAAGAACTGGGAGATAAGGAGATCACGTGATACAAGGTGGCCTCGTTCAGCACCGGAAACGCCCAGAACAATATGGCTGTTGACAGCATTGCTCCGTCGATGAAGGGTTATTTTTTTTTTAAAGATACGCTAAAATTGTCAGTGTCAAAGTGGACTGATAAGGTGTGTTGGAAGACAAGAACAATAACACCATCCATTGTTTGAACAATTGAGAGTTTTAACGTGGTTTGGATGAAGACGCACGCAGATTACGCCTGCAGTAAAGTAACTGATCCAGGTCATTCGGTAAAGGCCCATCACACAAGACTGTCTTCTGAATTGGAAAACAACTCAACAAAGAATATTAAAAATACATCATAAGTAGACATTATATTCCACAGAAAGCCTAGAAGTAATACATGTAACGTGGTCAGTGTTTCTTACAGACTTTTTTCTCCAGGGGGGGGGGGTGCACTTAAAATTTTCGGGGGGGGGGGGTAGACTTTCTTTGGGGGAGGGGGGGGGGGGTGGATACTGTAAAATGTATATATTTTCTATATAAATTCCATTTCGTTCCGGGGGGGGGGGTAGACTTTCTTGGGGGGGGGGGGGGGAAGCCACCCGAAGATACGCCTGGAAGAAACTCTGAACGTGATTCAATAGGCAAAATATTTGTATGTATTGTAAGTCCAAAAATATACCACTTCTTACTGCTCTGATTTCCATAGTATTTCCATTTAAACCATAACACAATAACTAATTAGGCTAGTACACAATTAGTCCTGATTACAAAATTAGATGCAATTAAAAACGTCACCTGTTAGTTTCCGAACCATTTTTAGATCGCATTTTCTGATTCACCAAATTTTAAGAAAACACCGAATTAGTTTCTAATTGTAGAAAATAATGAAAATATTATGTGCTACAAGACACAATATGTCTTACATACATCTTTATGGCCTAAACTTTGAGGATACTGTAGTAAAGCAATATTTGTATGGCATATCACGAAAAAGAAAATTGTTTATTAGTTAAGATAGAGCCTGCCAAAGCTAAATTTTAAAAGAAAGAAATACTGCAGATAGCAGGCCTTATCAGCGTCCCAATCTATAATTAGGGTAATTTTATCTCCTTCGGCTATTGATGTAATCTCGTCTTTGTATTGGTTGAATGTAAGCTCAATAGCTGTTAGTGTTGGTTTTATATAAGCGTCTTAGTACTTTTTGTTAATTGAATGTAAGCGTTCTAGCTGTTTGTATCGGTTAAATGTAAGCGCCCTTGCTGTTTGTATCGGTTGAATGTAACTAATTGTAAGCGCCCTTGCTGTTTGCGTTGATTTGCGTTGAGTGGATGTAAGCTTTCTATTCTTCAAATCTCTGAAGTGGTCTAAAGCTTTCTTATTTTGTTTTTATTATATGACTAAAGTAAATTTTAAGTGGTCTCCCCTTATTTCTTATTCATATTTACAAGGGAGATAACAATAATAACATTGTGATTGCATGTGTTATTTCCCACCTTGTGTTTTAAAAACTAAGAACTAAAAAAACGTTCTAAACTGCCACATAGACTTAAGGTTAAGGGTAGAAAACGTTGTTGTGGGTCGGGGGGAGGGGGTGGTGGAGGGTAGTTTAAAAATGCCTTTAACACACACTTTAACAGGTAAATATTTAATAAAATCCACCAATTCTACAACTTTGGACTTGATATCTTGACTTTCATGCATTCTTGATACTCTTTGCACCCAAGTTGCAAACTCCCCCCCCCCCCCTCCTCACCGTTTCTAACTTCTTCTTACATTCCCGCACCCAAAGATAATCTACACATCCATCTCCCATCACACGATCTCCGTGTAAACACTCCACATATTCATCTACCAGGCTGTCAACCACAATCTCACTCTGACATTTTGTGTCAATTTAGAAATGGGCGTGTTACTTCCCCTTGAGTCTACCCCAGCCTGTTGACTCTAGTTTACATAAACCCCGTGCATCCATACACCACCATCATCAATACAGCAACTACATCCATACACCACCATCATGCAAACACCACCATCATGCACACACCACCATAATCCACATACCACCATCATCCACACACCGCCATTATCCAAACACCATCACCATCCACACACCACCATCTCCCACACACCACCATCATCCACACACCACCATTATCCAAACACTACCATCTCCCACACACCACCATCATCCACACACCAACATCATTCACACACCACCATCATCCATACCCCACCATCATCCACACACCGTCATCATCCATACCCCACCATCATCCATACCCCACCATCATCCATACCCCATCATCACCCACACACCACCATTATCCATACCCCACCATCATCCATACACCACCATCATCCATACACCACCATCATCCATACACCACCATCATCCATACACCACCATCATCCATACCCCATCATCACCCACACACCACCATTATCCATACCCCACCATCATCCATACCCCACCATCATCCATACCCCACCATCATCCATACCCCACCATCATCCATACCCCATCATCACCCACACACCACCATTATCCATACCCCACCATTATCCATACCCCACCATCATCCATACACCACCATCATCCATACACCACCATCATCCATACACCACCATCATCCATACCCCATCATCACCCACACACCACCATTATCCATACCCCACCATCATCCATACCCCACCATCATCCATACCCCACCATCATCCATACACCACCATCATCCATACCCCACCATCATCCATACCCCACCATCATCCATACCCCACCATCATCCATACACCACCATCATCCATACACCACCATCATCCATACACCACCATCATCCATACACCACCATCATCCATACACCACCATCATCCATACACCACCATCATCCATACACCACCATCATCCATACCCCACCATCATCCATACACCACCATCATCCATACCCCACCATCATCCATACCCCACCATCATCCATACCCCACCATCATCCATACACCACCATCATCCATACACCACCATCATCCATACACCACCATCATCCATACACCACCATCATCCATACACCACCATCATCCATACCCCACCATCATCCACGCACTGCCATCATCCACAAACCACCATCATCCCACCACCACCATTATCTATACACCACGATCATCCATATACCACCGAGCACCAATACAGCAACTGCAATCCATACACCACCATCATCCACATACCACCATCATCCACACACCACCATCATCCACACACCACCATCATGCACACACCACCATCATCCATACACCACCATCATGCACACACCACCAACATGCACACACCACCATCATCAATACACCACCATCATCCATACCCCACCATCATCCACACACCACAATTATCTATACACCACCATCATCCATATAGCACCAGCATCTACACTCCATCATTATCCAGTGACCGTCAGTCGGATAGATCACCAACCTTATAACTACCACCTCGAAGAAATTTCTAGGCACGCGGCATGAATATGCAAATTTCTATGTCATCAGAAATGATAGGTGATTTTCTAAAAAGGTCATTCTAAAATCTGCCAGCAGATGGTAGAATTCAAGGTCGCCATACTTTTGGTCTCTAGTATTTGAACAGGAATAAACTGCTAGGCTGGTGCTTGGTGTAGGTTTATTTCAAATAGAAAATACCATCGCGAGACCAGAACAGAATTAAATCAAAGCTGTGATTTTATAAAATAATAATTACTAATATTCTCTCTTGATAATTTGTTAGCGGAATTTTCTAATAATCCAAATGAAAATAAACCGGGAGTGATCTCCCCTAAACTTTCTCGAATATTCTTATATAAAATAACAGGGGATGGGAACTCGGGCTATAGACATGATTTTTAATCCATTTTTAAATACTTAAAGTTTTAAAAATAGAATAAAATCTCGTAGACAAATTAATTGCACACCAAGTGAACGCCAAAGAAAAAAGCGCATAATGGTGCGCAATATTATTATTACTTTTAAAATTTACATTAGTTTTTTGAGAAATCGGAAGTAGCGTAAAGTACTACTTCCAGTCAACGGAAATGACTCAAAATTTGATAGAAGGTAGAGAATTAGATCTTTTACTTACATATGAAATTTCATTTATCTATCTGAAATAGTACTCAAGTTATAGGCTTTTGAAAAATTCAAAGTAGGAAAAGTACCACTTCCGGTTCGGAAATCGCTCAAAAGTTGATACGGATCTACGATTTTGATAAAATACTTATATATGAAATTTCATCAACCTAGCTGTAACGGTTCTCAAGTTATCGTGTTTACACACGGACAGACAGACACACAGACACACAGACACACAGACAGACACACAGACATACGGACAAGATTGCAAAATTATGTTTTTCCGTATCAGTGAGGTGTGAAACGTCGAGATTTGTAAAAATCTCGATTTTTTTTTTTGCACGATTACAAGACTTTCTCTATACTTCGTATATACGAGAAAGTAAAAAAGATAAGGTAAACATTTCAGTAATAAAAAAAATGATCTATAGCCTATATAGGTTTATTGATTGAATAGAAACACAAACAGGCGTTGTTGATATACGAGCACTAAACCTTTCACACTTAGAGCAGAAAGATAGTTACAGTTACCTAATTCAAAATTAGCGCTTAGAAAATTGAAGAGTTATTGTTAAAACACTGAAGATGAGAAGTGTAAAATGTAAGTAACATATACACAAAGCAAATATAGCCACAAATACACGGAGAGCATCATGCAACTACACTAAAACTAACGTCATATGCCTAGATCTGCAAAAAAATCATCCACCTAAAAATGTCCAATATGTTTACAATATTTATAGCATTTAATATGTCTTCTAATTCTCCAAAACTTCTTGCATTCCAAAAATATAGGCCTCTAACGCATTAAATTATAAAACCTCTCTTATTTTATAAGTTTAATGAGCGCAAATATTATATTTAATATGTCATGATCCTCACTGGAAACTAGCACCGCGCATAACCTAACCGTAACGAAACTTGCTTTTCAGTAAAAGGCTACACCATTGACATCAAACTTTAAGTCCAAGGTCGAGTGCTTGCTCATGCCGTCAATATAA